ACTTATATAAACATGAACTTTAGTCTATTAAAATGGAAGGAAACCAATTTATAAGATTTTCATATCCAACAAATCTTACAACATAATCAGTTTCAATTTTCATATATTAACTAACTGATATTTCTTTCCACAGAATGTTAAGAAAGAAGAGATCAAAGAAGAGCCAGCAGCCAACGGCTCGTCGCCAGTCAAGTCAGAGAACGGCAAGACTGGCAGCTCTGTCGTTAGCTGGCTATCTGACATACCACTCAAGACTGAAGCCGAAGAAGAGAAGTCTGAATCTAGCTCGTCCGACTCCGAGGAAGGAGGCAACTTCTCAACGTTACGGGAACTACTCATCCGGCCAGCGCCCGAAGGAGGCGAGACTCAGCCTAAGAAAAAGCAGAAGAAGAGTAAAAGCGATATTCTTGATGACGTCATCTCCAGCGTTGTAGACGAAAAGAAAGATGAAGATGAAGAATCGAAACCGTTCGCACTGTCCAACGTAGTGAAGCGGTACGACAGGAGTGGGCGAGGCCGCGAGGAGCTCCCCATCCGTATAATGACGCTCACTGAGTCCAAGCTGCTCTACCCAGACGTGCCTCACGCCTGGCTCTGTGATGGGAAACTTCTACATCTCACAGACCCCATGCATGCCGGCAATTATAAACCGTTCCAGGTAAACACCTACCCTATTTTTATGTATTAAAAATTTATCAGTCTCAATTTAAAAACAACGATTGACTTATCTTTACTGCATTTTATTAACGTGTTCTGTTTGTTGTTGTTACAGGACCAGTGGAAACGTGGCCAACCAGTTCTAGTCTCCGACGTATCGACAATTCTCGATAAAGACTTATGGAGTCCTGAGAGTTTCTCTCGGGATTTCGGTGAAGAGAGAGTTGACTTGGTTAATTGTGCGTCCGGTTTAGTGGTACCGTATCAACTGGGCAAGAAATTCTGGGACGGGTTCGATCTAGCCGCCAAGAGGCTGCGAGACGAACGCGGCGCTCCAATGGTGCTCAAATTAAAAGACTGGCCACCGGGCGAAGACTTTGCGGAGCTTCTGCCCGGACGTTTCGACGATCTCATGCGAGCGTTACCACTCAGCGAATACACATCGCGCACCGGCAAACTCAATCTAGCCGCGCGGTTACCTGAATGTTTCGTACGGCCGGACCTCGGGCCCAAGATGTACACTGCGTACGGCGGCGCGGGCGGCACCACCAACCTGCACCTCGACGTCAGCGACGCTGTCAACGTCATGGTGCACGCCAGCGCCCCCGCCGACGCGCCCGAGCGAGCGCGCGAGGCAGCGCGGGCCGCGGAGGAGGCCGGCGTCGACGTACTGTCGCGACGCCGCGCGCGGCTCAAGCCCCCCGCGGCGCTGTGGCACATCTACGCTGCGAAGGACGCGGACAAGATCCGCGACTTCCTTGTGCGAGCCGAGCTGGAGCGAGGCGCGCGGCCGCGGCCGCAGCACGACCCGGTGCACGACCAGACCTGGTACCTGGACGCCGCGCTGCGCGAGCGCCTCTACCGCGAGTACGGAGTGGAGGGCTACGCGATCCTGCAGTGCCCCGGAGACGCTGTCTTCATTCCGGCCGGAGCGCCGCATCAAGTCAGGAACTTGCTGGACTGTATCAAAGTGGCCGAGGACTTCGTCTCACCCGAGAACGTCTCGCGGTGTTTCGAGCTCGCGCAGCAGTTCAGGCGGTTGTCTCGCCAGCACTCCAACAAAGAAGATAAGCTACAGATTAAGAATATCGTGTACCACGCGGTAAAGGATTCTCTGTGCTGCCTGGAGGAGGCGCTCGCCGAAGCCAAGTGAAGACGAGCGGGCCTCCCGCATTTGATCTCAACCTCGAACGTAACATTAATTGCTAAGTTCCGCATTTAACGTAAGATTGGGAGCGAGTATGATACGCGCTGTGCGCCGTTTCGTGTATAAGATGCCATTATTAAGCGTCCGAGTCGATTGTGTACCAGTTATGTGTGTAAGTGTACTCGAAATGTGATTTAGTCCGACGGTCGCGATCGGAGTATGTGCAATGTAAATTAGTCTGATTATGGTGATATCGTTGAGATGTGGATATGTTTTATGTTCCTTAATTGAAATACAAATAAAACTCTTCAGGTTATTTACAGCTTAATTGTAGCTATAGTGATATGTATGTATTGTGTAAATTTTAATTCGAATTCCATCGAGTACATATTAAGAATTATATACTTTTAAGTTATTGTATTGAAGTAAAACAAACGTATTCGCTCGAAGCATTGTACATTACAACACGGCATGTAGATAAGTTTATCCTATTACTAGATTTCTCAATTTGGTTATGTTACAAAATGATAGTTAAACAAAGTATGTGACAATTTCTTTTTGTCCTTATCGCTGTATTAGGAAGTTTTTTTTTGTACTGTGTATATTATGTATGGTTATAAGTTGGAATAAAAAAAGATGTTTATATGAAAATGTTGTTTTAATTATTTCGTACCAAAGGTCTACCTGTGCTACATCAGCTATAAATTGGCCATATTTTTAGTAAAACAGGCTTAAACATACAGTAATATTTTTGTATTTATTTATTTATTAACACTTTGCAAACCACTTCATGACTGTCACCTCAACTGAATCTTATTCAATCTGCTAGAGGAGGTTTGCTAAAGTGTTCGGCTAAAGATGTCGATGGAAGTCATATCGATAGTAGCCGAACCCTGGTGAGTTACGTATCGAACGCAAAATCAAAATCCTCTCAACAATTTCTATGCGTAAAGAATAAATGGAAAACTAGGCTACTTTTACCTATCCGAACTATTGCATTCAGTTCGTATAAGACGTGGAGTAAATTGTAACAACGCCATCTATATTAAGAAACAAAATTCAAATAGTTTTAACACTGGTTTTGCTACTCCCCGGTAGATGTCGCTAAACAATATTTTTGTGTTTTATAAAATTAATTGCCATTCTTATCAGCACATTTTATTTTATAATTATTTTGTTTACACAATGTTATCTATCCCAATTTCAAAGAAGTTGCACTTGTAGTTGATAGTGTATTTTTTATAGTGTTTACAAGTAGAGAGTACCGAATACTATTAATACATATTTTTCCTTATAATAAGTTTCTTATTAACAATAGGTAGATACTGAATAACTTAAGTTCACTTCCTTCATTTTATACAACAGGATAATGTTTAAAAACTAAAAACTAACAATTTCGTCGAATTATTTAAATTGCTGCGTAGCGGAAGAATGACTCAAGCCTATCGTCCGTAAGTACAGTAGGAAGAATATCAGATTACAACAAATTAGGCTTGAAGGGTTCATCATCGTGACGAGACAATGAACACTGATATTTTGAAAAGACGACCACATTATGTATGTGCACAATTATTTGTGATAAATTTAATATTACACCTTTTTGGTCAAAATAATCCTACGATTCTTTAAACTGTCAAACACCGCTAGGAGTGACCGCAACCTATTGTTCTTCAAACTGTCAAACACCGCGAGGACACCGGTGACCGCAACCTATTGTTCTGTAACTCGTCGAGTACCGGTTTTATAGACACTATTAAAGAACAATAGGTCGCGGTCACCGGTGACCGCTTGGTGTTTGACAGTTTAATTGTGTCTATAATGACCGTACTCAAAGGGTTGAGAGAAACTAGATTCTACAGGTAGGTAAATAAAACAATATCTAGGAATTAATACATGTCTGGTCTGATCGCAAAGAGACTGTAGGTAACGGTTCGTGCAATAAATCTTGCTGCTGTTATCAAATGTAGGTATCTCCATAAAATAATCGAGTCCCGCTACTGGTTTAATAATAATTCGTTCATTGTCACTGTATACTGTATAGTCTATAAACTTTGATTAAAACGGTTTCAAAGATTATGTGTACCGTTTATCCGAACTTCCGTAGGTATTATTGGATTTTTTTAAATTAAAAATTAAGAAGAACTCCACAAACTTGTTCAGAACTAGAAGAAAATCCAGATAGCTTTCTATAATCTGGGTATCTAAAAAATTCCTAATTTTTATTAATATAGTACACACGGCCACACATCAATCTATACAAATCCAGTTTATCCTGGTGTCGCGTCGCATCATCGTCCCGCACATTTAACGATCAGTTTATACTGGTTATGTAAAGCTCGATGTGTAGCCGAGTGTACTACGTTGGTAGATCATTTTAGTCGAGGCCTATTTATTTATTTAAACATACATAATCACACCGATATACCCTATACCCGAAGGTAGATACACATTACGGCGCTGAATGCCACTGTACAATGTAACACCCACTTTTCACTATTTATGTTATGAGTCCCATGTAATAGGGGGTGAGCCTATTGCCATATACTGGGCACAATTCTAGACTCTGTGCTACTACTGGGAATTTTTCAAAAAACCCAGTAATACTTTGCCCGACCCGAATCAAACCCGTCTCGGGTCGTCGGGAATCAAACCCGAGACCCCTGCAGTTGCACTTGTGACCACTCGGGCAACGAGGCAATCTTTATTTATTTAAGTTTTATACAATCGCATAAGTCAGTCATTCTTTGGTTGGTGCAGAGATTAGTGTCTATTGTGGATAATCTACTCTACTCTTAAACACACTACATTATTGTGTGAGTGTAGATTGATGTGTTATAGGTATGTTGTGAAACTGAAAAAATAAATGTAGGTGCCTGAATGTGCATACAATTATTATTGTAACGAACATAAAATATTACTTAGCCACTGTGGGTGGTATACCTACAAAGTATCACAAACAAGTTTGAAGATTAAATCATATCATTCAATAAAAAATAACTGTCTCTGAACAATGAACTACTAGCTTTAAAATCACCACATCACTGTTTCGTAGATAAAGTCATAAAACGCTGTACATGGCCGGTTTAAACTGACGAGTGGGCAAAATTATCTAGAATATGGAGTAATGGACATGTAGTGTATGATTTGCATCAATCACAATCACGGTCGTTGGGGCGCCCCACTAAGTTGATATAAAGCGGATTGGCTGGCCCTCTCGCCTGCCAGTTATTCGCATCTTGTGGTCAAACGCAGAATTGTGTGAAATAACAATGAACGCAGCTACTTTATTTGTTTTTGGTGAGTTTTATTTACTTTTTCTACTGAAGATATGTTTTTAATACATCCAAAGGTTTTCAAAAGTGTTATAAAATAAGTACACATTCATACATCTCAGTTATAAACATTATTATTGTGTCGTTTATCATTCACATCATCGAGTTTTTGTAGGAAATTTTTGTAAGGATAGGTATTATATTTTTTAAAAGTATAAAGCCGTGAACTGGTTTTGTATTGTTTGAATATGTAAGTAGTGTTGTTATATTAGAGAGGTCTTCCAAGAATTGTGTGTGTAAATATTGTTGATGTAGAAGGCTGCATCTAATTAGGATCGAGGAAAAACCGGCATTAACTTAACAAGATATTATAAACTCAATATGACAGATACATAAGGTTTACATTTGATTAAACGTCGATACCTAGGGTTTAAAGTCATCCCCTGAATCCAGGACTAGTAATAAGTATTCGTTGGCAGGGGTGTGCTTTGGGCAACGTTAAATATTTTTATTTTAAAAGTGCCGCTTAACTCGTCGAGTACCGGTTTGACAGTTTAAACTGTCAAACACCAAGCGGTCACCGGTGACCGCGACCTATTGTTCTTTAATTGTGTCTATAAAACCGGTACTCGACGAGTTAATAGACATAACGTGAGAAAAGATTTTTACTGGTCAAATTTGCTGTGGATTTGGATCAAACTTAAGCAAAAGAACGAAAAAACTTTATTAATCACTACATAGTACAAAACAAAGTCGCAATCTGCCGTCTGTCTGTCCCTATGTATGCTTAGATCTTTAAAACTACGCAACGGATTTTGATGTGGTTTGTTTTAATAGAAAGAGTGATTCTTAAGGAATTCTTAATTCTTATATGGGCCGGGGCGGGTCATTAGTTTATTATAAATAAACACTATCTTTAGGTTTAAAAAATAGGTATTATGAAAGTCATGTATTTTTTTTTATTAAAATCACTCCTTTTTGTATTAAAATCACCACTTACAATTACAAGATCATCGACAGAAGTAGTACCTCGGTATAAACTGTTTACAAATTCACCCACTCTATTCCACCACGCTCCAAGTCCTAATTCAAGTCCTACGTCATTCAAAAACTAGTACTCATTGGTGCAAAGTGGTCCCTCTTCCTGTCATTACCTAGATGACCATTTGACGACCTTAATGGCCTGGTTAAGGTCAGTTGCGTCTGCGCATGATCCTTTAACTTGATTACATGATGAGCTCTAAATACTTCCGTTTTGTCAGGGAGTTGTAAAACGAGATGTTATAGTGAAGTTTGTAGGGTCATAATTTGCACTAGGCTCTGTAATATTGATGGTTTAATGCAGATATTTATGTAGTAAATAAATATCTGTTAAATAAATGAATAAATTAATTTAAGTCTGTTAATTTCCTTAAGGAATAAACAGAATTGTGCTTGGGTATAAAACTTTCTCTTTGCTCAATTTCGGGGAACAAGAATCTTTCTCAGAAGATCGAGTGAAGAGATACTGGTGGACCACATCATTAATAGAATAATCCTTTGAAGAGATGGTTAAAGCCACGACTAAAATACTTTACATGGTGACAATTTCGAAATGAAAACCTCAACCAAAGAAGAGATTGAGGAGATCCAATGACGGGTGGATTGTACTTCATGCTCTGTAGTTGCACTTAATACGCATTCGTCCAACGAGGTCATAGAGGCAGGAAACAAGCAAAATTGTAATGAATCCTAATTCAAGTAATGACTCATCATCATGTAGGTCTCTGTTTTTCTAGAATGTTCATATTGTTCATGTGAACACAATGTGTGCAATTATTTTTTGCCTAGTGTGATTTGGTATGTGGTAATGAAATTATGTATTCAGTATTACATCCTACTACGAAATGCTAATTAACAATAAGCTTGTGTTTGCTAACATAATGGCGCTTTGTTTTTCAGAACCTCAATCTTTGGGTTTTTTAATACAATTTATTTTAATGAATGTCTTAATGGATTTTGTATTTTGCCTAGAATATTTTATGATATTTAAAGTAAGTACACACCAATCTAAAAAATCTTAAACATTTTAAAGTTGTTTATATTTATAAACAACTTTAAAATGTTTAATTATAAACAACAATAATTTTATTGCACTGTTTAAAACATTCACAAATTAATTCTACTTATGGGTAGTAGGTATAAAAAATCTTTGTAAGCATACATCGAGATAAAAAATACATATTTTCAATTAAATTCATTAAACCGAACATGTTACTTGGAACTTGGTAACATGCACATTATTTTTGTACGATACAAAACGAACGAACCTAACAATAACAAACCAATTTATCGACATTCAAATCAGGCTCAACTTCAAAGTCAAAGTCAAAGCATTTATTTCAATTAAACCAGACATAGGCACTTTTGAAACATCAAAAATAGAATAGGGTAGATGCCTAATTTTTATTTTAATGTCCGTCTGGTAGCTTATTTTAAATCATTAGACACGTATTTTTTATTTTCTTACAGAAACGAAAACTTTCGGCAATATATTGATTTGAAATGTCGCGTGACGTCACTTCTATGTATAGGTATTTTATACATAGCAATGACGTTTTAGCCCCCACTCCTAAACTTCGATTCGTTTTATTTAAATATTCTTTTATTATACGACAAAATAAAAAAAACGTGTCTGATATTTTTCATTACCTAACGGACTAATTAGATTTTTAATTTTCATACCCTGTCATCCTCTCAATTTCTGAATCCCTGCCATCACTGAAGCTACATAAGTCCTTATACAAGGTCCTGACTATCTGGCTATTATGTTCCAGCTCTGGTGATAGTGGCGGTGTCCTGTCGTCCAGACAAGCCTGACCTCAAGCAGGTCAAGGCTGAGGCGGCTCGCAAGAAGGCGTGTATGCACGACTGCAGCTCAATCGCTCTGGACCCCATCTGCGCTGGCAAGACTGGCGAAAAACCCAAGTCCTTCGGCAATGAATGCGTCATGAACAATTACAACTGTGAACACCATGATAGTAAGTAGTTTTGCCTTTTAACTCGTCGAGTACCGGTTTTATAGACACAATTAATTAATTTTGACGGCACGGTTGGTGCGGTGGCTGGGCAACCGGCTGCCGTGCAACGTGTCGCGGGTTCGATTCCCGCACGGAACAACACTTTGTGTGATCCACAAATTGTTGTTTCGGGTCTGGGTGTCATTGTGTATGTGAACTTGTATGTTTGTAAACGCACCCACGACACAGGAGAAAATCCTAAAGTGGGGCAACGTTTTTTTTAAAAAAAAAAAAAAAAAAAAAAAATTAAAGAACAATAGGTCGCGGTCACCGGTGACCGCTTGGTGTTTGACAGATTAACTCGTCGAGTACCGGTTTTATAGACACAATTAAAGAACAATAGGTCGCGGTCACCGGTGACCGCTTGGTGTTTGACAGTTTAATAAGAATAAAGTTGCTAAAAATGACTGCACGGTTGGTGCGGTGGCTGGGCAGCTGGCTGCCGCGAACAACTCTATGTGTGATCCACAGATTGTTGTTCCGGGTCTGGGCGTCATGTGTATGTGAACTTGTATGTTTGTAAACGCACCTACGACACAGGAGAAAGTCCTAGTGTGGGGCACTATGGGGTATCGTTGTAAGTATGTAAAAAAAATAAAAAAAAGGTTTATGGCTTACTTTTATTTACCTACAGTCGGTCAAAGTTAAACATTTATTTCAAAAAAGATTTTCAAAGTCAAAGATACAACTCTAAAAAATTAGACAAGGAGCAATTAGTTATAGTATGTTTAGGTAAGAAAATATAGAGTAAGAAATCTTTAAAGAAGACTTTATTTGAAAAGATGTGATGTTAAATAAACTTACTTGTACCACATGTAAAAACTAAACAACATCAATACAAATTGTGCAACCTTGTGTTTAATGTGACAACGGCACAACATCTGGAACTCCGTAACATAAACATTGCATAATAAAGAGAAACCTCGCTCACCCCCTTTTTTGGTTGACAACATAAATAATGTTCATGTAAACTGTTTGTTTATTTGTTTCCAATAAAGAATATGAGCATATAAGGCATAAGATGATATAAAAATAATAGTATTTTTTTTCTTCTCCTCTTATAATACCTTCTGATTCATTTCGTTGCGGGAACCAAGACAGTTATGTCCCTGGGACGCGCTGGACTTCAGTGTTCCGGTGTTTTCATGGTTGTATCTACTGTAGATCCTGGTTTACAGGAGTTGCAACGAATTTGGGAGGCTGTGGCGGGCTTGTCCCATAAAAAAAATACTTAATGGCCGGTAAGGAAAGTCGTTGGCTGGCATCTAGCAAAATGATATGATATCTAGTAATAGAGAAAACTTCATTGCTAATCCACCTTCAAGCATGGTGATTAATGCTCATACCTTCTCCATGTGAGAAGAGGCCTTTAATCAGTAGTGGGCATTATGCGCTGTTTAAGTATGATGTACTCACCGGCCGGTACCGTTGTACCTGTAAGTAACATTACATAATAAATAAGTCGAATTTAATAATTCTGTAGTCGAATGTCATAGTCCCTTTAACTTTCTTTAATATTCAGTAAAAAAGGTTCATTGTGTGGGCCGTTAACAAATTACATTATCGATTTTGCGTCGTAATCGAAATGTTTCCACATTCAGGGCTTATTCAATGGAAAAGTACAATGACAGAGACGTGGCTACATTCATTATAACAAAGGCGTGTCGGTGGAGCGTGATTTTGCAAAACTGTTTTGTTATGTAGGTATATACCCCATAACTATTGGTACTGTCGCTGACATAATTTAGTTCTTACAAAGATCATATAACAAATGACAGTCGTTTTGAACCAAATAAAAATTGGGCTCTTGTTAAACAATTTCACTTATGTCGAAATACTCAAACGCCACTCATTTAAGTCATTCGATGATTTTCCCCCCTTAAAAAAAAATCATAGTTCTGTCCCTAAAAATTCTTTAGAAAATGACAAAGATGGCGATATTTAAGTACAATTTATAATTGTGTAGCCTTTCAGTATTCGGGTGTTAGAATTTTGTAAGTTTTGCTTTCGTGATTTGCAATTTTTGACCTCGCGGTGCATTTTATGAAACGAATTGTTGTGCACGAATGGATAATATTTATACCCAAAGTCAATTAAAGTAGATAAAAGCCAACAAATGTGAAACGGTAATTCTATAAATATCTTATAATATCTGTTGTTTCATTGAAATTACAAATGTCTTTATTGGGGATTGAAGCGGTCGCCTCTATGGCAAAGAGCCAAGCCAGAGAAGGACTGCTTAATTCTAAATTTCTCAAACCTTGAAATAAAAACTATACAAACCCGTTGTGCTGTACATTTTATACAATATACATACCAACGTAATCAAAAACCCTAATGGAAATATAGTTTAGTTGTGTATCTGTGGTATAGTCTATGGCCATAGTATAGTTTATGGTGATAGTTTATCTATGTGCGTGGCTGAGCCCGCGAATTTGTAAAAAACTGATGACGCAATAAAATAGTGTGTCAATAGCCTTTACTAGTTTTACATGTATTTCGTTCCTGTATAACATATTTAACAGTTTACAACAGAGTCTTTATAAACCTGTGGCCAACAGGGTGTGACGCGTCATGTGACCGTGGTAATGGCAACCATTGTGCCCGACCGGATTGTGACTCACAACATTTTGTTATAACATAACATAACATAACATCACGCCTTTTATCCCCGAAGGGGTAGGCAGAGGTGTACATTACGGCACTTAATGCCACTGTACAATGTAACACCCACTATTTATTTTATGAGTCCCATGTAATAAGGGGTGAGCCTATTGCCATATACCGGGAAATCAATGAGGTTTTACAGGTACTTTAAAGAGAAAAACCTAATAATGATCTAAAGTCTAAAGGCGTATTTGATTGAGAATCTATTCAAATTCGTTTTATGATTAGTGGCGTGCCTTCCACATATCATATTCATGATTCAGTCATTAGATTATCGTAGCAAAAAGACAAGGAGTAAATTTTTACATAATTTTTGGTAATGGTTAGAACATTCATTAGAACATACGGCGGTATTTCCGAACCATCAAGAAAAGAGCGTATTTCTTTTTAAAATGCCGGTAACGCACCTGTGACTCCTCTGGTGTTGCGGTCCATGGGCGGCGCTGATCGCTTACCATCAGGTGATCCTTCTGCTTGTTTGCGTTCTATTCCATAAAAAAACATTACTTGTGCATTTGCTAAGTCAACTATTTTGTAAATACTATGCACATTATTCTTAACATTTGAGTAAATATTAAGTTAGTGTAAATGTGCTAAAAATTGCACCTATGGAGATTTTTATGACGTGGTTCTTAGCAGACCGTCTTTGTTCATACACACTAGGAAATACACACTAGGAAATAGCATGGGGCAATGAACTTATTAAACAAGTTTTGACACGGCAAACATGTTAGCTAGATATCTATATTATTATCTATGTGCTACAATTATTATGTTCCATTTTTTATAGCTCCTTCTTGGCTAGAAAAGTTTTTAACAACGAATAAATAACGACATGTTTCATTAAGTTTTCGGTAGGTATACATACTTAATTGTACATTCAAACCATGTTTAGGAAATAATTATTAGATTTTTTGATTAATGTTCGCTTATTCAGTACCTTAATTATAGGAGTAACCGACATACATAAACTCATACGTTTGTATCAATGGGATATGCACAAACTGTTGCCGTTAATGACTAATATGCCATGGCATACTAGTCATTAAAATTGTGCCGCGGAGGACTTAACGGGTTGCCGAGGCTCCGGCTCGAACGGCAGGAGTAGGAACGGGGTGGTTTTTAGTCAATAAGAGTCTGACACTCCCTCCCGCGTCGCCCACGCGGGAGAAGCCATTCGATGATTTTCCCCCTTAAAAAAAAACCATTAAAATTGTATCTACTGCCTGCCTTCAGAAATAAAAACATACAGTTTTGTAACACTACTTTTTTATTTTCCAGCTCTCCACAAGATCAGCAAGGGCGAGTGTGCTGGCTCCGACGGTATCCGCCTCTCTTAAACCAGAGACAAAGCTGACGAGGATGGCAACAGCTTTCCATGACTGCATTTTCTAAAAAAAAAAATTGTTTGTAATTGTCTTTGTTTATCGATTAACATCAAAGAAGCTGTGATTATAATAAGCGTTTAGCTGTGTACTCTCAGATATAATGTGTGTTTTACTTTTGTAATTGGCGTATTTAATACGTATTATATTATTAAAACTATGTAATTTTAATTAACTATCCTTGTTTTATTTGTAAGTGAATCCTCTGCCACTGAATTAATCCTAAGTACCTACACAAGTAGTGACTTATAAATCAGTCATAAGTGTGAATCAAACAGTCAACGACACAACGTATTCAAGTTATACTAACGAGACCAAGAATTCTAAAATATAAAATCTATATAACATAATTTATTCATCAATTCTAGTAAACATGCAATGGACCACCGATTAGATACTAAAAAAACATAGCAGGGAGACCAGAGTGCGTCTTGAATCCAATTCCGATCGATCGATATTGGTATTGTGAAATATCGTACTCTTGATTTTCAATACCAGCGGCCATTGCATGCGTATTACGTGGATATTTAATGAAGTAAATGGTAGTGAGTTTGGTTCTATATTCGGTACTCTGATTGCCATTTTAACAACTACAATAAGGGTTGTACAGTTTTGACATTGAATAATTAATTGAGTCTTTATTGGATTGAAATTGCGTTGACGAAGGTTCAAGTTTCTCTTAAAATGCAATAATAATAGTAGACTACTAAAAATATTAACTGCCTCGTTAGTCGAGTGGTCGCAAGTACGACTTAAGGGGTCTCGGGTTTGATTCCCAGGTCGAGCAAAGTATTACTGGGTGTTTTAAAAATGCTCAGCAGTAGCACGGAGTCTGGAATTGTGCCTGGCAATAGGTTCACCCCCTATTACATAGGACTCATAACATAAATAATGAAAAATTGGTGTTACATTGTACTCACTGCACCCCTGACAGCCTACCCATTCGGAGATAAAAGCGGTATTTTCACACATATGTTATGTTATGTGTAAATATACCGCTACAATTTAAGAAATGATTTTCAGTAATGAGGACTTCTTTAAAAAGTGTGTCCCATTTCATTCTTAGTTCCTTTTCACGTGGAACGCCTTTGAGTTAGTGAAGTGCTTGCTTCAGCTTAACGCTAGCTCCTTTACGTCTCACCTATATAGAAACAGCTACTTAAAAAAACAACACCCTGAATTTTCTTTTCTTTACTTTTTAAATTGTTTTGCAAGTTGTAAGCCCCTGTTAAAAATGTGTTCTATTTCACAGTTGAGTCAGGCAGTGTTTTATTGCTTTATTGATTTTGGAGTTTTAATAAATCACAATATTAAAAGTTTGTCCAATCGTGTAAAAAACCGAGCATAACCCATTCCTATTTCACAATTTTGTGGCTTCGAGCTATTTTTATGAGAGTCAATGAAAGACCATGTATCAGTTCCATAGGTTGGTATAAAGGTTGTAGAAAACTACTGGATATAGGTCGCCTTTAACCAACTAATTTTTTTTTTTAACGGGGAAAATCATCGAATTACTTCTCCCGCCTCAGTGAGGCGGAAGGGGGGTGTCAGACTCTTACTAACTAAAAACCACTCCGTTCCTTCTCCTGCACGTCGAGCCGGAGCCCCGGTAACTACAACCAACTGATTTAGAATTCCAACTCAAGCAGAGGGTTAATAAAGAAAACACGAATGGACGACATAATTATGACTGATTGCTACTGTGTTATGAAGATGATATTCCAGACTATTATTATGCTAATATCAAGTATGAATGCTCGTGTTTGATAGTGAACCCCAATGAAAATTAGTGCTGGGTGATTTGTATGCCTGGCTTACACTGAGTGGGTGATCCTTTTAGCATAGGCATGTTGTCAGCGTCTCTCTTCTAATTCTTCTGTTTTAATTTTTCAACTCAATGTTTTTTTTACTTCCACTGTCACACCTTTGTTGTCTTTTTTATATTTTATTCATGCTGCATCGCGCCTGGTGCTGAATAAATGTTTTTTCTTTCTTTATGAATGTTTTTTTAAAATCCCACTAATCTAATTACTTCACAAAAATACAAACGAATGCAACTATCAACGCGGTCACATGACACTACGCACCAAAGATGTAAACAAATGATGTCAGCTAGATAGCGCACTATGTTTGTTATCCCGGATTATCGGGTATTTATTTCACTTCTGACATTACCTAGATTTGGGGTCACGAGGGCGGGCGTGGCCTACATGTCGTGACATAGACTGCTTGTCGCCTACAGACGTTTGTGGAACGAATCAGTCACGTTTTTATGGTAAAGTTCTGTTATTTGATATTTTGAAAACAAAACATAACGTGATACCTTTTAATCCCTACAAAGTTAAGGTAATATTACACATTCTAATTTCAAACACGAAAGCATGCATCAATACGGTACTTGACAACTAGTTAAATTCAATTCTTTTTTCGAATTTTTCGAAATTCCATGAATTTTATACGAGATTGTGAATTGTGACGTCACGTTTTTTAGCGTCAAACAGCGTAATTATTTCTTAAAAAGTTTGCTGGAAATATATTAAAATGAAGTTGGTCATAAAATCAATATGAAAGTGTGATTATTTTTTAATATTTTATTGTATTGAACAGTCGACATAATTTATTTTTGATCAAGGAAAGTACTTTGCATGACTGTGTGTCGGAATGTTGTTCAAAATTTGCATGCTAATTTCGGCCATGTTTGCGAACCGAGAGGCGTTCGCTTTTTGAACATGCTTAATATAACACTTTAGCATGCTGTTAGAGCATGTGCACAGAGTAATAAAACAAAAACTTTAGGCAGAGAAAGACATTGTATGTGTGCACATTACTGTATATAATGTAACATAAGACACCCACATTTAATCAGGTATGTTATGATTCGGGTGTAATAGAGGATGAGATTTATTACACTTGAATTAACTTGATACAAATTCAGACTCCGTGCTATTACTGAGAAATTTGTGAATAACCAAGAATAGATTCTTAGATATTTTAAATTTAAATTTGAATATACTTACAAAGGATAAAAAATTTTCTCCCCTGACAGGGATAGTAATTGAATGCACCCCCTTACGTCCTGCTGCCTGGTGTATGAATTTATAAATGTATGTAGCATTGATGTAGTGTGTGGATGGACGTATGGATGGATGGATGGATGGATGGATGTTTGGATGTATGGATATATGGATATATGGACGTATGGATGGATGGATGGATGGATGGATGGATGGATGGATGTATGTATGTATGGATATATAGATGTATAGATGTATGGATGTCTGGATGGATGTATGGATGCATGTATGGATGAATGAATAGCATAGTAATAAATAAAAGCAAATTCTGTACGTTGTAAAATCTTTATTGAAGCTAAATTTTGTCTATGATGACATCGTTGCAACTGGCTTACTAGCCAGTCTATACAGTCATGGCAATCCGTACTTTGTACAAAATAAATAAAAAAAATATATTGACTTAAACAATTAGCTTACAAATACAAAAATTACTAAAGTATTTTATTTTATTTGAACATGACTTTGGCATTAATTTTAAAACTACTTACATACTAATTTTCTTAAGGCATTAGAATAAAAATTTGGAATTTTTAGGAACTTTTTGACCAAAGTCTTAGTACTAATAGTAAAAGGTGTCAAACACATAAATTCTCCAAAGATTGGTTGGTTGATGTCCTTTGCAGATTTCTTTCAAGTTGTTTAATGGTCTTTACAGATCACTAGAATATTTAATAAAATACACAGTAATCATTATTCCTTAGAATCATAAATATGACTGCGACCACTCGGCCAACGAGGCCCGAGTGGTCGCAAGTTCGACTGCCGGGCAAGGGGTCTGGGGTTCAAATCCCGGGTCGGGCAAAGTATTACTGGGTTTTTTAAAAATGCTTAATAGTAGCACGGAGTCTGGAACTGTGTCCGGTACATGGCAATAGGCTCACCCCTTATTACATGGTACTCATAACATAAGTAGTGAAATGTGGGTGTTACATAGTACAGCGGCATTAAGTGCCGTTATGTGCACCTCTGCCTACCCCTTTGGGGATAAAAGGTGTGATGTTATGTTAATGTTAATGCACTTGTTGGTTTCCACATCACCACGTGGCGTTTGTATGATCTGATTTTTGTATCTGCTCATAGTTAAGAGGCTGGAGTGAAGGGATATAGGTTGTGTAGTTAGGTATTTTCCTTTGATCACCTGGGTGAAGCATCGAAACCTAGTTATTCTACACTATAACACATTGTAGTAAGAATACATATTACGTAAAAGTTGTCTATTTTAAATCAAATCCCTGATCTTTTTTCCAATCAGTTTTGTGAAGTCTACTACAGTAATTTAAAATAAAAATTACACACAAGTTTTTCAATTTTCATATACATAAAGCATTATAGGTACATTTTTTTTTTGGTTAAAACATTTAGAAATCTTGTTATTAAAGCTTTGGCCATCAAAGATATCATACCAACTTATGTATAGACATATTAGACTAAATTATCGTATGTTATTACAAGAACAATATTTTAGAGCGTAAGCATTATTTTACCTGAATACCTTATATTATATTACGTCACATGTTATTAATAATGGGTAGTTCATTCAATTAAGTAATAAAGTCGAAAAGACATTTGCAATGAAGAAAATTTAAACCAATAAAGCATGAAAATATTCAATATTGTAAGTACATCCTAGCTTAATTAGCGATATTGAGTTTCAGCTTTCTATATACATTACATTTTTGGATCAAAAATAGGTACATACTAAATGTATAGGTGACTTACATTTAGTATGTAAGTCACCTATTTATTCATCACAGTTTACCCAACTCAAAACAATATAACAATGTAAATTTTTCGCGCCACAAATAATCAACGGTAGCCATCTTGGAAGTGGGATGTATGACAGCTGACATTTGAGTTGTCAATATCTGGCTTATTCGGATGACACTGTGACATTTAAGACCTTTTCAATTTATTATTGAGGTCAATGTTGACGTCAGTTTATTTTGGTAGCAAGCTTTTGACGATATCGATTTAAATGAAGAAATATTTTATGGATTGCGTGATGAGAGAGAAATTGTGACGTCATTTTGACGTATTTGCTACTGTTATGAGATAGATTCTGTGCCAATTTGACACTTAATAGTAATACATTATAGTTGAATATTAAATATATCGACCGTCCTCAGGCTGTGCGGTACGTAATGCTTACACTTATGTGAGAACCAATGCACTTTGCGTGTTCTGTCGCCGCATCAGCATTCGCCGAGACCCGTGATCGCGTAATCTGGAATGAGGAAAATGGCGGTCATCATTTAGGTGTTATAAAAGCTTTTATCTGATGTTAGCATCGTACAAGGAATACTTATTTGATCTAAGAACAACTTGAATTGTTGCTGTTTAGGAAAGTGATCATGTTTTAGATGACAAAAATCTTATAAAAACGCGAACTTACACGTGCTCTCGCGACACGACACCTCTTCTAATTCGCACAGGGTTTCAAACGTCCGAGCAGTTCCCGTAGCATCGAAAGCACACACTGGTCCTGCTGGTGGTGACACACATCTGCCAGCACAGAGAGGAGGAGGGACGCCCTCCCTCACTCGTGCCCTCATCAGCTCAGCCGGCGCCCTCATATCAGGAGCCTCCCCGATTTCATTTGCGTCACCGATGCGGGATGGCAGGAACGGGACGCTTGCTGGTTGTACTTCGTTCCATGCTGGAAAAATGAAGTAGTTTTGGATAAGTGTCTTGTTAATTACAAATAATTAGATGTTAAAGAAACTCTTCTTACTTTATTCTATAGTAATGCAAGAGAATTTGAGTTGAATAGTTTTGTCAATAAAGAATAATAACTCAAGTAAAAGTCAAAGTTGATTTGAATCAATATGCGTACTGTGAGTATTATCATTTTAATGAAAACAGGATTTGAATTAAATAGATAAGTAATATAATAAATACATAACGGTAAATGACAAACGTTAAACAACGAAGACATAAACAATGACTAAATAAAACTATGACATAATTTGACCTGCAAACAAACGCAAATCTCCATCAAAACAAAGCGCGCACGCCGCTCAACTCATTCGCGATAACTGCTTAACCGATGATAATAAAATTAATGGGGACATAAACGTAGCTTAATTGTTTCTTGTTTTATTCCATTATTGTTTTTCAACAGTTGTTCTTGATTACTGTTTGACATTTCATTTGACCTCTCAATCTAATCAGTGTTATTTATTTTCCTAAACTTTTCCTGTGATCTCATCCTCATATTACGCATTTGTGATGTCCTATCGGGTCCGTACAATATGTAAACATTGTTTGTAATGCATCGTGCACACGCCCCCTCTCATTGACTCGCATTTGATGGACAAACATGCTTAGGAATGTCGCTTATTTGTTAATAATCGTTTCTTAGACATCCTCTACAATCACAAGAGTCCAATAAATAGATAATACGTAGAATATACGGCACGAATCATGACAAGATTTTGCCAATATGGAGTCTAGATGTGGTGAAATACGTATATCGTAGATTTTCTCATTTACCTATGAATACAAACTTCTTTTCTTATTTTTATGTACCTAGACAATTTTTTTCCAAGTAGACATTATTAAGAGTAAATTAAGGCAAAAACCGACCATAACGAGAAATAAAATGCACGACTTAACCTAAGTAAACCTCGCCGCGACAAAATATTACCATAGTTCGTGTTGGGAACTAAAAAATGATTTGTATGAGTTTGAACATTGCACTTTAATCAATGTTTAGATTTACGAGTTATTACGTTCTAAACTTTGGTCTAGCCTAGTTTATAGGTCAATTGGCAATGACTTAGCATTAGTCTTTATCTTTTAATTGCAATGTAAAGTGCTTTGAACTAATCTATAGTTATTAGTACACACAACTATACATCAAACTATGAAAACCAGTATAAACTGATCGTCGACTGTGGGGAAAGGTCATACAAAGCGAATTCATGATACAGTGGTATTGTATAGTACATGTAGTAATTTGTTTGATCATATTGTTGTTTACATTTTTTCTATGTTTATTTGTAAAACTGTAATTAATCATTGAATGTACTATCAGGCATCGGCGACCTTGATAAGAGGTTAAGGTTTCTATTAAATGAAGTGAAGGAAATATTCCATGGCCAATAGTTACAATATTTATTTATTGTAAGGCACATATTACAACGAAAGTGATCTCATTTGTCACATTTTTTAATGCAAGCTTCTACATACACGATATTGACATCATTCTAGTATTGCATTCTGATTTAAAGCCAAATTATACAGTTAAATACTTGGTTGCCAAAGAGGAAAGAAAAAAAATACAGTTAAATAAAATTGGAGTGTCTGTTTGTAATATTGAAATAACTGTATTTTACTACATGCACATGAATATGCAGCCGATACATAACATTTTTTAAATTGTTGTTTGTCTTTCAGTTTGACTGCACCGATTTTAATGGGGTAGTATTTAAACGAATATCAAAAAATATCCTTTTTCTTTGCAATAAGATTCCGAATTCCCATCAAAATTACTGATTGCACAGCAAAATATTGAACTCAAAATATTACTAAACACACTACAATTTATTTTCGCAGCGTACAACGATTTTGCCTAAAGCAAAAGCTTTCATTAATGCACAGCTAATAATCTTAATGCACATTATATAGGTAAACTCTTTTTCTTTTAAATGTAGCTTCTATTTTTAAATTATTTACAACAGTTTTTCTAAATAAAGCAGCATTTTAAATTCACTTATTTTATTTAAACTAATATTTTTAATATAAACGGCTAAATGGTATGAAAAGATTTGAAAAGCAGTTAGTGATATAACGCTCGGCGGCCGCTACCGCGGCACCGCTCGCTACGCTCGCGCCTTGTGAGGGTCGCAGTTCTAACCTAACCTAACCAAATGTTTCGGGGTGCCCAAAATTGCTGTGCAGTCAGTATTTATGCTATGTATGTAGTATTTTTGTACAAAAACAAATATAACCGTATTGCATTATAAGGAAAAAAGGATTGTCGTATTGATGTATAATTTCGAATTATCTGCAGTTTGAGTTTTGTAGAACATTTCATTTGTTTGTAATGAAGTAAGTTATTTGATGTAAAAAAGAATATAAATGATGAGTATGTATTGATAGGCGATTATTTATTTGATATGCAATTTATAATATCCCATTTTAATGGGACTTTTAATGGCCGGTAGCTAATGTACTAAGGTGTAACATAGACTACTTTTGTATTGGAAAACTGAAACACAAAAATGATTATGTCCTAAGACTCATATTCTACGCGGACGAAGTCGCGGTTAGTAACTCTATTTTACTAATAAAAACCCTTTATTAGTTTCTATTACAATTGTAGCTAATAGATACACAAAGAAGGAACCTCATATTTCGTATATAAAGTGAAATCACCAGTATCATACGTAATTTCACTTTATTACCCAAATATCCTTATCAATTCCCTATGACCTTCCATTGCCCAATGGCTACATAAACATCGTACGACCTTCCTCCACGACCAATCCAACAGTCCATTAAAAATTATCAGAAATCCCAAGCGATCCGTAGCAGTGTAGATAAAAACAATTGCATAATATCAAACGAAGCATCACTAACTGCGCAGTGACCCAGGATGAAGTAATTAACAAATAATGAATAACTATAATTAATTAGAAATATGTTTTTTATAATAACTATCGTGAGACATACTAATTTAACTAAAATCGCGGCTTTCTCACGTAAATATACTGAGAAAAGCTCTACTAGTTTCGAACCACAGAGGGGTTCTTCCTCATGAGCAGCGTGCGCGATCGCGGCGATGTCGCGCAGCTCAGGCGCAGCTCGTTTTTCAGTATATTCACGGGAGAAACCCGCCATTTTACTTAAATTAGAAATATCTTATTTTGTTTTTTTGCATCCAGTGAATGTATGGGTGTGAAGTGGAGTCTTGCAACTGAATTTTGAAGCATATACCTTCCACCGATTGAGCTGAAATTTAGTCTGGATAGACGCGTAGTTTGTATGACCTAAATGCTTAGCTAAATTTAAGTGATCTTAAAGCTTGTCGTGTGATTTAGGTGTACTAAGTATCTCGTATTTAATATCATTTTTTGTACCTATGTCACTTACGCTTTCAAGACAAATCCAACGATACATTACTTGTCTAAATCCACCAAGCCGTTTAGGATATAGCAGGGAACAAAGAAACTGATATACACACATACAAACATACGCGAAAACACAACCCTCTTTGTGGCTGTCGCGTAAAAATCCAAAGCGATCCGCAGTATCCTTACTTCCTTACTATAATATTATAAATCGGAAAGTGAGTTTGTTTGATTGTTCTGCTTTCACGCCGTAACTACTAAACCGATTATTTTGAATTTTTACAGAGGTAAAGTTATAGGTCCGGATTAAATAATAGGGTACTTTTTATCCAGGAAAAATTTGATATTCCCGAGGGAAAACAAAAGTATTGGTATAGATGGCGCTGTATGTACTGGTATATGTCACATAGGCTACTTTTATCCTTTTGTGACGCGAGCGAAGTCGCAAGTAAAAGCTAGTTGTAGATAAAACAATTGCATAACATCGTATGAAGCTTCAATAACTGCGCAGTGACCCAGGATGAAGTAATGACTATGATTTTTTTATCATACTATGTCGGTTTGGTTTCCAGAAAGGGTAATACATATCTAGATAACGGTCACTTCCTCAGTGACTCACCGGTTGTACTACGCGTTAAATAATTACGTATGTGACTAATCTCTTAGTTGATTGTCATTTGTTGAATTTCCCAGGCAATTGTAGCAACTGTATACACGTATGTATGTATGGGTCATTGAGGTTTTTTATGTGTGTAGTTTATGTTTTACGGCTCTTTTGATGGTGTGGTTACAAGAAATTATCGAATATTGGGTTTTATATAGATTTTGACGTCAAAGTAGGTACTTGTATAACAAAAATTATATTTTACTATGAATTTCATTTCAAAATGATAAAATTTTCTCAATATTTTCATGAGTGAACCGGAGCCATGTTTAATTAACCTAGTATGTCTCACGACACTAGGGATGATGACGGTGTACTAAAATTAAAAATCTAATTAGTCCGTCACTTTGGTAATGAAAAAATATTAGACACGTATTTTTTATTTTGATTTATAATAAAATAATACTTAGATAAAACGAATCAAAGTTTAGGAGTGGAGGCTAAAACGTCATTTCTACGTATAAAATGTTCATAGAAATGACGTCACGCGACAGTTCAAATCAATATATCGTCGAAAGTATTCGTTTCTGTAAAAAAGTAAAAAATACGTGTGTAATATTTTAAAATAATCTACCAGACGGACATTAAAATAAAAATTAGGCATCTACCCTATTAAACAAATAATTTAAGTATCTCTCTCACATACTGAGGCTCATTTTTAGAAAAGGAGGAGTATAATAATAACAATTAGTTAATCGATAGTATCGATTAAATCCGGTTAAAACTCGTTTACATTAGAAACGATGTATTTAAGTCAATCGCGTCCAAACTAATATTTACTTAGTATATTAATAATGCATTGTCGTGCAATCAACTGGGTTAACGGATGTATTAATACAATTGTTTGATACTATGCCATTGTTAATGTGTATAACATATATTACTTAAATACTTTATTTACAAAAGTACGCTAATTTCTATCCGGATTTCTAAACGGCTAGACGAATCACCTGATGGTAAGCAATCGGCGTCGCCCATGCATACCCGAAAAACCAGAGGCGTTACAAGTGCGTTACCGGCCTTCTGGGAATTAGGAATTTGAGGATTGTGGGGGATTCGGGGAGACTGGGGAAGGGGTATTTGGGCCTCCGGTAACGTTACTCACACGACGAAACACAAAGCAAGCATTGTTTCACGTCTGTTTTCTGTGAGGCTGTGGTATCACTCCGGTCATGCCGGCCCATTCGTGCCGAAGCATGGCTCTCCCACACTTAAATATATGTATATCACACTATATCTTAAACTGAAGGTAAAAGCCTTTCTAGCTTTATAAATGTGAAGTACAAAGATATTATAATTAAAATTTGAAAGATTATAAGTGATTTTTTTCATATAATGATGGTTTTAATTTAAAGTTACTTAGTTAGCTCCATATAGACTACAGTAAGAGTATATAAGATTGCTAAAGCACCTTCCAGGCCAGAATTACATCAGTTCCATTAATTTCATACTTTTGGATTTCCATTAAATCTTTGCCTGAACAGATTACAAACAAACCTCATGGAGTATTTCAATGTATTATAATATACATTTACATACAGTTTTTATAATAATACGACAAATCCGTGGGTGGAAAGTAAGTAAAATTCTTAAGACTTCCTGGTAGACAAATACCTACAAATAGGTATACATTGCAATTATTTGTTTCTAACAGGTCGCATTGAAATATCTATTGGTGCTTTCAACGTTTAAATGTTAATGGGGGCAAGTCACATTAAAGGAATGTCACCTGATTGTACTCCTAGCACATATAACATTGCTTCTAATATTATTATAAACAAATAGCAGAATATAAATAATTTCAAAAAAATCTCAATCGAAATTCAATTTAAGTCGTAGCACATGTGTAATTTGTCAATTTATTCATGGATGTTCCAAAATAAAATCTTTTAGCCAGTTACGCCCGAATACTGAAAGGCTACTTAATTTTAAATTGTACTTGTATCGTGCCATCTCTGTCATTTTACAAAGATTTTGTAAAGACAGAACTATACTTAAGCGCGACTTAAAATTCAGTGGCGCTTCAGTATTCGGACATTAGTAAATCAAAATAACAAAACAATATATTACGTTAAAAACAATGTAAAATAATCAAGTTATAACAAAAGTTTCATTTCCTATATCCAATACGGTATAAAGTCTGTCACATGACAAATGGTTTCAAGTCGAGAGTTGGTCACGTGTGCACTAGTTCATTGACTTAGACTTTGCAATTACTATAGTGCAAGCTATCTGGCTTGTGCCTTGAGATAAGCCTGATGTCGTATTATGCTGACGATCTACAACCGGAGGAATATGACCCGGACATGTGGGTACATGAACATACATAATGATGTAGACTTTGCAGTCTACAGTCCAATGTAGGCTGTTGACCTCCTTATGTTTTGCTTAATATTATAACATGTTACCTATATAATAATAATCTTTTTTAAATGGGATTAATTATAGGGGTGAGAATTAACACCGCTTGCTTTACAAGCTAACTTTGTTTGAGTTTAATGATAAGTTCAAAAATTAATGAAACACTATGATTTAAATCTAGAACTATGGTTAAAGTTATGGAAGAAGAACCTATATACATATCAATAGTTATTTTTATTTTCCTGCCCCAATATATATATGTATAACTGAAAAGTCTAAAAGAAAGTTCAAATACCATGGACAGGTTTTGCATTACTTTTAAGTAATTTGGTGAGTTTGAGTTTTAATAGGTTTTAAAAATAATGAAATGAGAAAGAAAGAGACCAATGGCTTGAACAGTAAATACTTTTAGTTTATTACGCAAAAGTAAAAAAAGTTTGAATATTTTCGTAGTGGGTCCCACATTTGGCTACGCCGTAGCAGCTACGGCGTAGACATAGCTACGTTTTGGTTTATTTTTACGAACGCTTGTGTAGTAACTATGTTTTATTATTTGTTCTATATGTGTGGTTTTTCTAAGATAGAACGAACAGCTTCAGTTTGAGTTACGCGTTATGGAGTGGCACGGCAATCCATGATATTCCTTATTTAGTCATGTTAATTTATATAACATAACATAACATCACGCCTTTTATCCCCGAAGGGGTAGTCAGATGTGCACACAGAAGTAACACCCACTTTTCACTATTTATGTTATGAGTCCCATGTAATAGGGCGTGATCCTATTGCCATATACCAGGCACATTTCCAGACTCCGTGCTACTACTGAGATTTTTTTTAAAACCCAGTAATACTCTGCACGACCCGGGAATCGAACCCGAGACCCCTTGCCCGGCAGTCGCACTTGCGACCACTCAGCCATCGAGGCAGTCATCATGTTAATTAATTTTAAATAAATATATAACAGCTCATATCGAGATGACTTTTATGTACAAAGCTCAATGCGAGATTTATCAATCGTCATAACACATTTCTTCTAACGTAAATTTTGTATCGACTAAAGATCAAACGAAATAAATAATGATTACGTAAATACAATCTAATAAATATTAACAGATGGATGATAGGTGACTGTGCTTAATACTAGTAGCACACACACACACACACATACACAGACACACACCCACACACGTGCACACACTTAAATGTATACACATAATATCAGACACATTTTTATATCGTCAAATCTTTTACTGCCAAGGGTCTTATTATAATGCCACTATATTGTGTCACCGTCTTTTCACCGGCTATGTTATAAGTCCCATTTAAAAAAAAATACCTTGCCTAATCCGGGAATCGCACCCTAGACCACTTGCTTGGCAAGACGAACTTGCGATCATTTCACCGACAAGGCACATGCATCGATGGTTGGTGAGGTTTCATCTCACACATACATCGATGTTATCACGTCATCACTTATCCATATGTAATCTGTGGTTTAAGAACATGATTGTTGCTTTTAAAAAACACTGGCTGCAAAAAATAGGCTGTATGACAGAGATAATTTGACGATGATTAGTGTTTTTGTGTCAATATAGTAGTTTGGATTTGATTGGTATGATGATATTTTTGATCAATCTTTCCTCATGTTTGTGGCTGTTTGTCATTTGTTTTTTGTAAGTCAAATCAGGCTGACGAGTCACCTCCATACAGATAATATTGCACTATACTTTGACTACGTGATTTAGAATCAAATTCTATGTATTATAAAGTCCCGACTGAGAAAACAGTCCCGAAACAATGACAAACAACATGATATTAATTTATTCTCAGAATGGGAAGCAAACGTCGCGTTACTAATTATCGTTCTTCGAAGACTATGTAGTATGTCACATTACATACTGTGATAGTCCATTTATTGACTATTAACATTCCCTACAAAACAGGTGAGTATCTTAACTTCCACGCTTGGCAGGTTTATCGATATGCTTGATAGCCACGAACCATATTTGGCCACGGACTCGCCTGGTGATAAGCGGTCATTAAGGTACTAGGGTTGCCGGGGCTCCGGCTGCCGAAGTGCAGTAGTAGGAACGGGTTGGTTTGTAGTCTGTAAGAGTCTAACATTCCCTCTTGCCTCACCCAAGGCGGCAGAAGTCATTGGATAATTTAGGTACCCCCTCAGAAAAAAAAAGGTAAGGATGGGATTGGAAATCGCAGTTAAAAAGGAATATGTTTATCAGAGAACGCTGTTCCTCTGTCTTTGTTAAATATGTAGTCTCGTCTCTTGGGAATATACCACATCAACATCGTCATCATCAACAGCCACTGCTGACCAAAGGCCTCTTCTCACAAGAAGAAGGTTTAAGCATTAATCACCACGCTGGCTCAATGCGGGTTGGCAATTTCAAACTTATAATAAGAAATTATAAAGCCCAGGTTTAATCACGACATTTTCCTTCACCGTTCGTCAGTGGTGTCTAAATAACATTAGAATGTATATGACTCGGAAAAGTCATATTGGTACTTGGCGTTGCTAGATTTCGATCCCGCGCCTTCATGCATTAGAGGCGGGTGTCATAAACCTCTTCGTTACCACGACGTTAGTATGAATGAACATAAATGTTTAAAATTGAGATGATTTTCGCAGTAGTGAGTGTAAAGTGATTGCAGTTGCCGTCGTCCGTATGTCTGCCCTATGATCGATTACTCACAGCTAATAATAAATGTGCGCTGCCCTCGGTGGGCGTGTTACGATAACCTTAGGCTCAAGCCGCCAAACGGTCTAATGTTTCACTCGTTTCTACTTCAAGTAACCGTCTTTGTGTTGCTTCATAGTAAATATTAAGATCTTTGTAATGGTTAGGACCTTTTTGTTGATGAGGTTATGATATTTCTAAAGGGTAAGTTGATGAGTTACTTTTGTTACATATTGAGTAAAATATTTTAATAGTAAACTGTAATCTATCAAAGCAAGCGTCGATTAAGTACATAATGTAGTGTAGTGGTAACAATATTAAATCCGTTCATAATTCAAACAAAGAAATAAAACAATGTTTACGAACCTTTATGAAATAATATAATAATATATCAACGTTGTGTCAACAATTAATTAAAAGTATTTCTGTGTTTCTATGTCCTTTTATTGCAAATTAATTAAAATATCATACGTTGATATGTTTTTCCTTATAGGTACATGGTATTGTAAGTTAATTTCATGCACAGTGTATATAGGTGTAATAATGATGTTTATAAACCTGACCTAATAAAACTGCATTTTCCTCATTCGTTTAATTAAAAAGCAACAACAAAAAAAGTTAAATCATTTAAATAATTCCATTAAAAAGAAAAAAAAACACTTCATATAACTCACCAGCAACTAACACTAGACACAACAAAAACTTCCCGTTTAACATTTCCAACTAATTCAGTCCAAATATTTGAGACACCACTGTCGCGACACTACTATTATTAAAACCTCTTTTGATATTTTTATTTTTTATCTGTGACAAAATTCGAACGCTTGTCAAAAGTATTAGAAGATTTGAATTGTTTTTTTTATTGTAAGCGACGTTGTATAGAACTTATCTGTTCACTGGTGCATCAGTGACTGTTCCAGGATGGGCGGAAGGGGGGATGACAGTAGTGGTGGCAGCGATAACCTCTGACTCGGCCGGAGGACGAACCTCTGATAACGGCTTCGACTTTCAAATGAGAGCGAGTATTCTTTCGCTACAGATAAAGGAACGACTTCGAGGATTGTTTTTTTAATCTTTTAATTTTAATTAATGGTTTTTTTAGAGGTCGATGACTGCAGTTTTTTTTATAAGTTATTCTGTGTGGTTACTTTACTTTTTAGTACAGGTATTATGAGTAATGTTTTTGTATCTCATAATAAGTTTTTTTTTATACTAGAATCTGTTCGTGGAACGCGTTAATTAGTATGGTTATGAAGTGCGTACGTGTCCGGACATTGTTTATTAAATTATTGTCGTTTTCTTGGTTGATGGCTGATAAGCGCTGATAGGTACTGAGTTCGAGGTTTCACATTTGGTGTTGAGATCTGTTTGATTACAAATTTTAATTGTGATGGTGACTCAGTAAAGTGAGAATTGGGGGTTGAGGCTTATCGCATACCATGAACAAATAAATGCACGCATTCAAACATAAGGCTGAAACAGTAACAACAATCGAGCAAGTTAATTCCTTAAACTGTCAAACACCGCGTGGGCACCGGTTACCGCAACCTATTGTTCTTTAATTGTGTCTATAATGACGGTACTCAAAGGGTTAAACTTAATTTAGTTTTAATTTTTTATTAAACTTGCCAGTAAATCTACGTCACGTAATAAAAACAAACTATGACGTTCAATGCCACGTTATACGTCATAACATGATTTTGGTAATGAATCATTAAGATTATGACGTCTATAGGTAGTACATAAAGCACGTACGTAAGAATTTTTTTAACAAGCAAGCAATCCACCTCTTGGGCCCAGTAGGGCTGATGCCGATACAGAGCCATGGAGGACTTGGGTTGCCGGGGCTCCAGCTCGAAGTGCAAGAGTAGGAACGGGGTGATTTTTAGGTCAGTAAGAGTCTAACGCTAGAGGGATCTAACCTCACTCGCGTGGGAGAAGTCATTGGATGAGTTTCCCATCTCAAAAAAGGCGTTATTAGCACGTGCCTAATAGACTACTAATTGGAGATGCTACAAGTAAATCATACATACCAGTTTCAAAGAAATAGGAATTGGCCCTTTTTCTACCATAGGTTTTTTGTTTGTTTGTTTTATTGGCCATAACTCACACACACACATAACATCTCTGCAGTGGTAGGCAAAGGTGCACATTATAGCATTTAATGCCACTGTACAATGTAACACCCACTTTTTCACTAATTATGTTATGAGTCCTATGTAATAGGGGGTGAGCCTATAGCCATATACCGAGCATAATTCCAGACTCTGTGCTAATACTGAGAATTTATTTTTAAAAACCAGTAGTATTTTGCTCGACCCGGGAATTTAACCCGAAACCCCATACCCAGGTCGCAAACGCGGCCAATCGGTTATCGAGGCAGTTGGCCATAACTATAAATAGAAATATAAATAGTGGTATATACCATTTAGTACTATCTTTATGACAATGTAATTCCTAGTAGGTAGGTACCCATCTATAGTTTTAGGAACAAGCTGTGATAAATGATGAATGGGAATTCCAGTATTGATCTTTATTTGCAAAACAAAGGCGTCATTTAAAAGTTTACACTATTATTTTGAGGTATTATCTCTGTTTTATTTGTTTTGCATTTAATATTGTATTATGTAGGTACCTACATCTAAATATACCTACATAATTTTGGATACTCAAAAAGCTGAAGTCTTCTTGTTCTTTTTGAAACGTTGTCCCACACTTGTCTTGGGTGCTTTTACAAATATACACGTTCACATACATATAACAGTCAGACCCGAAAAAAAAAACAATTTATGGATCACACGAAGAGTTGTTCCGTGCGGAATCGAACCCGCGAAACGTTGAGCGGCAGCCAGTTGCCCAGCCACCGTGCCAACCGTGCTGTCAATTAATTCAAAATTAATCGTCTATAGATGTTACCTTCCTCCATATTGATGTTTTTCTTTCTTTTTTATGGAATAGGAGGCAAACGAGGTGACGGATCACCTGGTGGTAAGCGATCAGCGCCGCCCATGGACACCCATTCAGAACATTTACTTGTTTTCATAAAAAACATATGCAGAAAATAAAAACATTACACAGTGTCATTATCTCTTAGTGTTATAATAATAATGCTAACTAACTGGTTATTGGACTTAAGGTCGTCTCTAGCAAGTTGCAGGTTGTTATACAGTATGTATTCAAGAAGTCAATGTTACAAGTTAGTCCCTTTTCCATATTAAAATTAAATGTTTCTACAGAAGAGTACAGTCAACAGAAAAAGTTGATGGAGAATCTTGGCAGCAGTTGGCTCTTATTCCCAAGAGCATAAGAACTAACAGCTTATTTATTCAATAGATACACAAAACAGAAACACAGCGTAATACACAACAGAGTAATAACATAAAACAGTAAATGACAGACCATGCTTCCACAAGTACGTGTGCACACAACATGACATGAAATAGAATAGTTATTTATTAAACTGTCAAACACCGCGCGGTCACCGGTGACCGCAACCTATTGTTCTTTAATTGTGTCTATAATGACGGTACTCAACGAGTTAATCCAGAACGAAATTAGAGATCATCAACAGCTTATAAATGCCCACTGCTGAGCAAAGCCTCTTCTCACATGGAGAAGGTTAGAGGATTAATCACTACGCTCAATGCGGGTTGGCAATTTCAAACTTATAATTAGAAATTATAACCCCAGGTTTCCTCACGATGTTTTTCTTTACCGTTGGTCAGTGATGTCTAAATAATCTTAGAAAGTACTCGGAAGAAGTCACATTGGTACTTGCCGTTGGTAGGTTTCGAACTCGCACCCTCGTGCATGAGAAGCAGGCGTCTTCAACCTCTGGGCCACCACGACATAAATTAGAGATAAATAGTAATAATAAAGAAAATTAACAATGCAATTAAACAGTAGATACATTATTTATATATTATCTTTATTATCAGATCGAGCAAATAACAATTTTCAAAGTTAAAGTCAAAGAATTTATTTCAATTAAACCATAATTTGGTACTTTTGAAACGTCAACAAATACAAAATAAATAATAGTCTGTCAGTCAGTCCGTCAGTGAAACTAGGTGAAGCTAGGTGCTCATTCCAAAAAGTAAATTCGAATGGAGAAGAACGAGCAAGAAACTCCATTCGTTACTCTTTTTAAAAAAGTATGTTCTACAATGTCTCTGATACAATTTCCTAATAATATTTTTAAATTTGTCAAGCGAGGTATTGTGGATATCAGGCACGCCCCCGTTCAGAGTAGCTCGTTGTACTTACTGTCGAAATTGTTTTGCAACTTTTGCTGTTGACTGTGCCTGGAACTTAGGAGTTAATCCCCTAGTAGTTTTATTCCATTCTTTCCTATAACACCTAGTCATCATCAACACTTGAATCTATTTTATATTCCTCGCATCCTTCCTTTACTCGATATTTGATAACAAGATCGAATTATTTATTTTATTTTTCATAAAATTCGCGAATAACTCTGTACCTACAAATTAAATTTCTTTCTTTTTTCATTCAAGTTAGAATTTAGAGATGAGAAAACAATAAGGTTTACAAACTTTAGTATCTTATACATACATTTTCTCTTTTTTCTAACCTGTACCTACACGTAAATAAACCAAAATATCTCCGTCATAACACTAAAATATCACTTATTAACACTATTACGCAAACAAAAACCAATAAGCACTAAACTACGAATAAAAAACAATATGAAGTTCACTATAAGAATATTAAAAATAATGAAAATGTGCTAATAGACGTGATAATAATTACTTAGGCTAGAGGTCAACAGTTACTGAGACATCGATACTTTGCTAGCGAATCATATTCATTGACGTCACAAAGATACATAATACATATATATGTAAAGTATGTAGAAACGACATATTATGATAAAATAATATAAGGTTCACCTTCATTTATTTGTGACAGCTTGTGTTTAAAGGGCTTTAGTAAACAGGTGCCTGCACTATTATGTTAACTTCTTAATCCCTGATTATGAAAAATCCACAACCTTTGTTCATACAAAAGTAGTCTCTAAACATCGGAAGTAAGGTCTATAATGGTCAATGGAGTAAGTGGAGAGCGGTCACCGGTGACCGCAATGTCGAAGATATTGATTAATTTATTTGCCTACATAAATTAAGGAAAAAAGGCGTTATTTAATGTGCAACTGTTTCTGCCTACTCCATTGGGGGTGTGAAATGTGTCTGTCTAGTTTTGTATCTAAATCAACGTCAAAATATTCATTAAATTAGACTATTTTCAGTTTATTTCAATATTAATTTAAACGAAGACTAATTAATAATAAATATATAATAATAAAATAAAAATCGTTTATTTGCAAAAACAGATTAAGGAACCTATAAAATGTTCTCATTTGTGTCTTTAAACAAGATATGCCTGTGTTAGGAAACACCGCTCTTTCACAACCGTCTGGTTGTACATAGTAAACTTCTGTAAATACAAACTTGCTACTTTAAATTACAAAAAGTACAAAAATTGTAATATTTACACATTAAAAAAAATTATGTATGTAAGTCGAATATATTTGTCATGGCGATCCGAATGATCCGCGGATACCGCACGATCGCTGGGGAGTCGGCGAACCTCCTTGCCGGATTACCGCCGTGGGATCTGGAGGCGAAGGTGCTCGCGCGCGTGTATAACATGCGCGCGGAGGCACGTCGCCGGGGCGAAACTCCGCTGCCGCGCCAGAT